GCCTTTGGAATGCGTCAGGCTACTTTGTTGGAGACTAAAATATAAAATAATATTGCTCCTGGGAAGATTATCTCTAAATCCTGCTTCTTGCACTGCCCCAGCTCTCTGCCCTGCTCCCAGCCGTGCACGTGGGTCTTTCCCCTCCCTTTTTCAGTAATGAAAAAAAATAATCATTTCCAAAAGGTGACACCTAATCGCCGCACGTTTGCCAAGTGCTGAGACCTCTTGCTAAGGCTTCAGGAGCCTGTTTGAATTTTTAAGTGGGAAAACAAATTAAAAGGTTCCTCCCCGGTTCCTTTTTCTCTTGCGGACACCTGCAGGCAACAGGGTTTTCCTGAAGAGCGAGAGGAGATGGTTTGCAAGGCATTGCCTAAAAACAGAGCAAAGCTGGGGGTTTAGGTGGAGCTGGAGCCCAGTATCTCGTGATGCGGATGCGACTGGGGACGCACCGCTGCATCTGGGGGTGATGTGGTGTGGGGTACCCCGCGGTGGGGAGTGGGGAGCATGGACTGGGGAAGGACTGGGGGTGAATCCTGCCTTTGCAGGAGGAAGAGGAGGCTGCGAGCCGAGCGAGCCCTTCTGCCATGCGACTGCAGAGGGTAGCAGGGAGCCGCGCTGGGCATCGCCTGGTTTCTGGGTGCACCCACTGCTGCCGGGGCTGCAAGGGCAGCGAACCCCAAAACCTGCCGGCCTGGGAGCGGCGGATGCTGCCCAAACCCACCTTCCACATCACCGCGTTATTGATGGCCCAGGTCGCGGGTGAAAACTGAATAAGCTAGGAAACTTTTAAAACACCATTCTGCAAGCAAAAATCATGGGTATCCTGGGAAAGCTGGGGACCCACCGAGGACGAGTGTGTCCTCTTTTGCTGTGCTCCGGAGGGTTCTGATGATTTTTCATCCCCATCTCCTTTGGCTTTCTCTGTGTTGGCTCATTTGGGTTTTTTCAGGCCAAATGGGGGAGTAAAGAAATTTCCTGCTTCTGCTCCGGGGGGTTTGGAAAGAGGGTCCCCGTCGGTCAGGGGTGCTGGGAGAGCGGCGCAGCGGCTGGCCGCCCCGAGGGTGCTCGGCTCCAGCCTGAGGGGCCCAGCGGGGTCCCCCGCGCCGGGGATGGGTGGCTCCGATTTCCCTTCCCACCCTCCGAGGCTGAATATCGTTTCATAAAAATAACCAAAGAGGCAACTGGAGCCTCTCTGGGAACAGAAATAATCCCGGGAAAAACAAAGCTGTGCCAAAGGAGTGTTTGTGCAGAGATGGGGTTTGGAGCCACGAGCAGCCCTTCCCTGTGTTTTGGGTGTACAGCGCAGGATTTTTCTCAAAGCAAGGATTTAATTTTACCTGCAAATCCTCCCATAGGACAGCAGAGCATGTGCAGGCGGCCGATACAACCCCCGTGCCTTGAAACCACAAACCTCAAGGGGAAAAAAAAGCCATTTATCCTGCCCGTTCAGGCGATGCAGGGCGTTCTGCTGGCTGAATCGCTGGTGGGAGGTGATGGTTCGCATCTCACGCAGCATCTCCTTCCTTTGGAGCAGGACGGAGATTAACAGCTCATTTCTGCTGGGCTCAGCAAACAGCAATGCCACCGGGTTTCCAGGGCAGATGCGAAATGATAAATTGGAGATGAAAAGGGTTCACGTCCCAGTAACATTTTACTGGGTCATGTCCCATATTTACATCACGGTCCTATCATGGTGAAAAGGCAATATAAACGCGATACAATCTATTGGCACAAAAACTGCGTGGCTTGCAGCCGTCAGGGTTTCTTGCCCCAGCTCTCAGAGCGGGGCAGCGCTGAATGAAATTAAAATGATCAGTAAAAATGCTGTGAAGCCTCTGGCTGGGACTGAGTTGTTTGCATGCCTTTGAAAAGATAGGGGGGAAGAAGGTCTCTGCATGCAAAATGCCCTCCATGCGATTTTAGTCTGGACAGAGAAGAGGTCAAAATCTTTACAGTTTGCTGCTCGAGCTGCAAGGAGAGGAAAAACCTCTTAGCAGCAAATCTCGGAGGCTGAAAGCTCTGCTTTGGCCCCAAAAGAGCGGCTGTCTGCAGCTCTGCTGCGTTAGGATGGGCTGCTTTTCCCCCGCCTCACGTCGGCTGATATTCAAGTCGTAGCTGCTGGAGTCAAGGGATTTATGCCGGGATCTCACCTTGCGTTAAATGTGCTGTAAACACCTGACGTTTGCAGAGAGAGGTTTGGGAAGACGACCGGTGCGTATCTAACGGCAGAGGAAGGAGATGCCCCCGCCAGGCCCCTTGAATTAACACAGCTTTGCTAGAAAAATCTTAATTTCTCAGGCACATTTTGGAGGAAGATGGTTGAACTTCTCAGATGCCTCTTCCTGAGCGCGTGCAGGCAGGGATTCTCATTTCTCTCGCCTCCGAAAACTCAGTTTCCCCCGCAGCTCGTCTCTAGATAAGAGCTGCTTTAGACAAACCTTCCCCCCTCGGCCCTGTCCCCCTCTGCCTCTTCCCATGCTCGTGCCCATGTCGGGCGTTGGTGCCTCTCTGTTTCCCCAGGCTGGCTGCGGAGCGGAGATAAGCCCTGTCTAGGAGCCGTGTAATAATACTAATGATTAATATTTCTTAGCGCTAGAGTGGGCTGGACAAGCGGTGGGCTTTTTTTCCCCATGGAAAATTTTGCCTTATTGTCATTAAAAAAGGGATAAGGAAGCGGGGAGGGTGCCTTGGGATGAGAACTGGTGAAAAGGGGGGAAAAAGGGTAATTTTTTTTGCCTGAAAAATTGGGAAAAGGGGGAAAACTGCTCTTTTTTTTTT